GTGAATATTACAACAGTCGAAAGTCTAAGTATGAGTATAAACAGATCTCTATATTCATTTGGTAATACATATCCAGATATAACTATTGTAGCAGGAAAGTTACTTTCATCAGGATTGTAGAAGAAGGCTGCTGATACAGAAGCAGCTATGGCAAGGGTAGCTGTAATTTGAAGAGTCACTAAAAGTGGAATACTTCGTATATTGCAAGTACCTTTCAGTCCCATTTCTACTACAAGGCTAGTTGTCTTTTTCAAAGAAGAAAGCACCACTTTTCTTCGAAAACTAATGAACCATAGTGACACATGAGCGCAAACGTTAAATGCATAAAATGAAACAAGCAAAGATGTTGAAATCAGAAAATAATGTGAGTAACTAAAAACAAAGCCCATTAAAATTGTTCTTGAGAAAGTAAAAATGTAGCTTATAAAAACAACATATCTACAGGTATTTTCATGTGCGTTAAAATCGGAAGGAGAAAATGGTAGTCCCACAAAAGAACAGAATGTCATCAGTAATTTAATATGTTGATTTGCAGTAGGTGTTAAAATTTTAGCTCCTGGACGTAATAACTTCTTGTCCCGGTGGTAAAAAAGTGCTTGGCCATTATGGTTAGATACAGCAGGATAACAATCCATTTTCAGGTGTATTTGTAGAAGACGCTTGAATCAGGCTAAGAAAATGCCACAACTTAAAAAAAATCCTTCACTTTTTTTAAAATAGCAGACTTTTCAAAAAAGAAAGTCTAATGACTAAGAATATAATACATTTTCTAGGGCATGCTTCTGGAATACAAATTCTTTTTTTCGTATTTACTAGAAATTCGTGTTGAGCACATAAAATGTTCCTTGTTTTTAGGTGTTCTACAAGCAGTTAAACAAACACAGATAATTGAATTTTAGTGGCACTCAGTTCAGCTTCCGTCCTCTGAATTCTGTTAAAGAACCATTATCTACAAGTCTCACCCAAATGACGAAAATTATTCCTTTCATAATATACCTTTCTAAGAAAAAAATTTACAAAATAATTCTTTTAAAATGTCATCACTTGCGTGTTCATTGATTAATAGAAAAGGAGGGAAACGAAGTAATATATTTAATAATTTTTCCTCCTGCTGTGAAAAGACTCTTAATTTTTTCCTCCATCGATTCCTCCATCGATTATATTCTACCAATGATATGCGTGAAGATCATTTTGACATTTTTACATTGCTGTTTGCTGATAACACTTTGAAAGGAGCAATAATGAAAAAAGAAGGTATTTATTTTTCATGAAAAAGGAATGACCGGTGATAATGGAATTTCCGAATAGAATACTTATGTTGCACAATCAATGAAGTAAGTCTTAACCAGTTTTGAAAGTTTACAGATATTTGAAAGGAACTTTTTAAGATAATGCGTATTCTTCATATTATTATAAATTTATGATAATTATGTACTCCCTCGTTCGAAAAACACATAATATTCATACATTACTCCAACAAGTGCCTTTTGGGATATCGAAAGAAAAATTTGTTTCTGGACAGACTAGGTATTTTAAAAATACTTCCGAATCCTGCTAATACGCTCACTGCATGGGCGTTTTCGTGGCTTTACCCATAAGTAACGTGTCTACAATCCAGTTTCCCTCAGAAAGTATGTTCCCTCAGAAAGTAAGTTCCTCCATAAAGGCATAACCTCTCTTTTAGGCAGATAACCCTCGAGTGTAATCAAATAAACCAAACCAACTAAACCGAAAGGGAGGCTCCATAGCAAGCCTGATTCCGGTTTTCATCGCAATAGGTCTTGATCGCAGTTAAAGTTACCCTCTTCGAAGCTCATTATTCCTCTGACAAACGAAATGGTACCAAAATCTTCGTAACTTCACAGTCAGAAGGGAAGAGTTATGAAAGGAAAATTCGAAATAGTTCCGATGGTGGAAAATAAAAGGATTTGCAACAGGAAATATAATACGCAAAACCACAACAAATACTAGATTGCTGTAAATTGGAAGTAAAACGTCATACGTTTATAAGACTTAAAATATTTATTTAGCAAACTTCTTACGAAACCCTAATATAATAGATTTTTGAGCGAATTGCGCTATTATGCATTAAAAATTCCCCGAAATAAAAACTTCATATTGTTAGGTGACTTCTGAAATACATTATACATGTCGTTTTGAAAACATGGAAAAAGAATTAAATATATCAAATAAGAAAGACTTATTTGATATATTTAATGGGACTCTTGCCCGGTACTTGGCATGCGGTTTGGAGATTACAACTGTAACTGGTTCTTAACCGAGGGGATATTCTCGCAATGATTTAGTGTATGACAAGCGACGGGGGAGTGGAGGTTTGGACATCGTGAAGAGAGGTGGTTTCAAGACAGCGTAGCTGAATACCTCAGTGAGTGTGTACGGGAGTTCTAAATTATCGTCTGCACGTTCAACGAGCCGACCTTTCCAAGCTAGAAGACCGTATGTCCTTCTTACCTCGTTAACTGCTTGTTTTCTCTTCACCGGCAATACTGGAGATCGCATTGTTCTGCTTGGAGTATTTTGTTGTGCTAGGAGATTTAGCACGGACTAATCTTTCCGAATATGCTGTTGTTTTAGCACAGTACATTTGTAACCGTTTGGAATTAAGTGTTATTGGATTAAGTGTTATTCATAGACAAGACTGATGTAATCTTAACTTCCTACATTTATATTTTTATTAAAATTCTCGCTATTGTTTTACAACTTGAGTTTGGAGTCATTTCAACCCTGAAATACAACAGAGGCTTTGGGTAGAAAAGCTGCAAAGAAATCTGAAAATCACGATTTCTTTGCAGCGTTTGCCCGAACATGGGAATCGTATGCTTTGAGTTAACTTACATGCCAGGATTAATTTCATTTCAGCTTTCAAACTCGAACATAAGCAGGCAATATGTACATATGCTGAAATAGTCACAACGGCAGTATGTATATCGGTTATATCCTATACCTGGAAATTAATATGGTTCTTATATTTACTTAACTTCCTCAAATAAATGGAAATGTATAGTTTCATTTTTGTATGCATTGTTATGTTCTTTTGGAGCTAAGAAGTTTAGAATTTTTAGAATCCTTCACTGGGGCCAAGTAAAGCTATAATCGAAGAGGAGGAATGCACGATTGTCAGATTACAAATTAAATCAAAGAAAGGGTAATAAAAGTAACCTATGTTTGGTTTAGGATGTTACACGATAAAAAATGGGCAATATTCATAAAGTAATATTATTCAATTTAAAATACATATCTATAGTTCCCTATTCCAAATCTATATTAGCCTAACTTCAGAAATAAATTTCACTTTTTCAGACTGGTTTTTTATAAATACCTTGTGAATTTACTGCGTACTATGTTAGCTCTCAACGTCGTTTTACTATTTCCGAAAACTGACTTGTCTCATGCTTTCGGAGATTGCATCTGCAGAAAATGGATATATAATAAATATGAAATAATGAATTAATAATCACAACACCTTTAATATGAAGGGTTATAAATTAAGAATACATTCATTAAAAATTCTCTGAACTTAATATATTAATACGCATTTACGGAGTTAGCACAAAAAGAAATACATTTTCTTTCTAAGAAAAAAATCACTACATTTTTTATATTAAATTCACCACACTACAGTGTTGTAACAAACGTAATCATATAGCCATAATTAAATTAAATTAAATTAAATTAAATTAAAAAATGCAACATACATAACAATCTTTTCGGTGCTCCTATCAAACGGTATGAAGGTGTACTCTCGAGCCCAAGCAAAGTCATCAAGGCGTTGCTAAGCGTAGAGGAAATGATGTCATCGGAAGCTATATCTAATCACAAGGAGGGATTTTCTTCGCTTATATGCAGCCTGGGTCTTTCGGTATGACAGTAAAGCCCATGTCACACATGCATTTGTTTCATACGAACAACTGTTTCGGACAATTTTTCTGCCTGGTGTACTATTGAAAGAAATAAAAAGAAAGACCCGAGATATTGTCCTTCCTTTCGAAAAAAATTTCAAATTGTTCGTTTTCAACCAATCAGCTATCAGCTTGTTTGTAATGGAGAACCAGTTTCCCCTTTACATGTTAACCCCAAAGTGATCTGTGGTGGTTGGCTGTTGTGATAAAGTAGAAAAATGGTTCCAAACAACTTCCAAAAGAAACGTATGTGTGATAGCAGCCTAAGACTTATTAACCACTTTTCGACTATGCAATATATCCTAAAAGTAGTATATATAATAAGATATCATAAAGTATAGTTTTATAAGCCTCAGTAAACTTCAAAGGCATTTTTTAATATTTACCGATAAATGGGATTATTATGCGTTGTTAATTACATTGATGAAAAGATGCTGTTATTATTAACTGAATTTATCACATCAACTGTAACATAAATAACATATTTGTTCATCTAGAAATATCTAAGAGCAAAAATATTTAGGTGCTAAAATTTAATGAGCAAATTGTAATTTTTTTTTAAAAAAATAATACAATGAACAATCTGTAAAACGGTTTGCAAAATATTGAGATTTGACGACTTTAGAATTTTTAAAATGCAGTTTCGAAAATTTGGAAAGTTATCAAACTGATCGATTCACGCAGTGTAAATATATAAAATGGTAAATCCAAAGAAGTGGCAAGTTAGTGCTTATTGAAAGGATAAAGTTAGTGCTTATTGAAAGCAATTCCTGTCATCGATGGAATATTTTCTTTTCCAATTCTTTTGAACAAAATGCTGTCAACTTTATGCATGAAATTTAAACAAATTAGACTTTTACTCATGACCAATAAAAATCTTTTAATTACGTTTAATAGTCGAATAAGTATTCATTTCAAAGGAAAAATAGAAGAATGAACTCCCAAGGACGTTATATCAAATAACGTAAGATTAATTTGCATTAACTTGTTCTTCTACTCCTGATCCTGTTCTCGGCAGCATGCAGAAGAGACGCATGTTAATTCTTCAGGCTAGTCGAAGAAGCATTATCAGTTGCACTACGAAGCCCTTTCGTAAATGTTGTTTTCTTTCGTCTTCTAGTTTCGTTCATGAGTTGACGAGCAAAAAACAAGCGAACATGACGAGGAATGTTTCAGGTATGCATTTTTTCAGTTACTGCTCTTTTTTTAAGTAATTTTCGCTTTCATTTCACATCTGGCGCATGAAAAAATGGAATTACAGAATATTAACTTTGAAAAATATAATTATTCTTTAAACTACAATAAACCTTAAATAAATAACAAGAAGATTAGAAAATGTTAAAAAAAAAATCAGTCACTGCTATAGATACGGTTTTATTTCCGAAAGAACAACAACAGAAGACACGCAAACAATGACACATAGTTTTGAGTAAAATTATGCGTACGTGTATTTAATGTATACATTTATGTATTTAATATGCATATTTATATACCAAGATGTATGAAAAAATTCAAGTTACATAGTTTTGAGAAATGCGATAAAAAATAAAAAGTGCAGTTTTAACTTTTTGTGATATAAGACTAATATTAAAACACTTGAACTGTCAATAATAACCGATTTTTAATAAATATTATTAAAGATATGCTTAATTGATTATAACTATCACTTCTGGTTTCCTTTAAAGTTTTGTTAATGATCCTATATAACCCTTTAATAATTACATTAATCAAAGAAGACATATCTAAATGAATTGAAAGTAACTACTACTTCTAGTTTTCCTTAAAATTTTGTTAATGGTCTTATACAACTCTTTTATGATTATGTTTATTAAAGACGTATTTAAATGAATTAAGCATTAAAATCTTAAGGAATTAATTAAGTTTAAAATCTTTAAGGAAACCTAGAAGTAACTATTACTTCTAGTTTTTCTTAAGATTTTTGTTGGGATCCTATACAAATCTTTCGTAGTTACATTCAGAGAGATACTCGTATTTAAATGAATTAATATAAGTTTTACTTCTAGTTATCTTAAAATCTTGTTAGTGATCCTATACAACACTTTTATAATTTCATTTATCAAAGAAATATTTAAATGAATCGAATGTAACTATTACAGATAGTTTTCTTTAAAAGTTTTAGACCGATCTTATGCAAATCTTTTATAATTATATTTATGAAAGACATATTTTAGCGAACTGAATGTAACTATATTTTCTAGGTTACCTTAAAATTTTATTAGTGATCCTACACAACTCTTTTATAATCACGGATATCAAAGGGATATTTAAATGAATTGAATGTAACTATTATTTCTAGTTTTCCTTAGAAATTTGTAAGTGATCCTATACAGTTCTTTTATGATTACATTTAACAAAGAGATATTTAAGTGAATTGAATGTAAGCATTAGTTACATTCAATTCACTTAAATAAATTTGATGTTTCTTTGATAAATGAAATTATAAAACTTTTGTGATGATTGTTTTCATTCGTTAAACAAAAATATGCGAACAAAATTGCAAGGAAGTAATTTGTTACAAAATGAAAGTATAATATGAAAAAACACTGCTAATATGAAGAAATTGCTATACAATTTTGTATCGTCGTAAATACAAAATTTTAAGAAATCTGATCAGTGGAAGAGAGTCAAAAGTCCATTTGAAGATTTGACTCAAGTAAATAAACTGAAAAAACTTTTAAAATGCCGTAAACATTTTTGGATAATTACATTAATTAAAATTTTAAGAAGATATAAAATGAAAAAGGAATTTCCTTTCTAATTTCAATGTATTAAATTAATTTCTAACTTATGATTTCAGTTAATAAACTACGAAAACTGAAAACTGTTGAAGAGTTTGATATACAATTGTGTTTGTAACTTTTAAGAGTTTGCTATGAAATAGTGCTAGCAAATGTTTCCAAATAATGTAAAACATAGTTCACTGGAACGCTTGCCCAGACGCATGGCTAGTAGATGTGATTATATTTTATTCGAAAAAGCATCTTTATTTTAAAATAAGTGCATGAACAATTTATTATAATTCAAATATTATACTTTATTAATTCTAAATGCAATTAAAATTGATACTTTGATCCACAAGTATTATGAGCTGTTCAAAAGCTTACTATTACGCACATTCCACTGATGATAATTTTGCTTCAAACAGTGGTCGAATATTTCCTTTTTTTCAGAATTATCTGATTAAAATCTGTATTATTTAAACTTAAGTTTCTCTAAAATAGAAACGCTATTTGATACATATTTATTATGCTGCCTACCGTGAAATTTGGCTACTGTCGAACCATGAAAGTTTGCGGACATTTCGCTGAAGTTGCACCAATTGTTCCTGAGGTGATTCTGATCCGCATTTCATCTGTAACTTACTATAGAATGTTCATCATTCACTCCGCACAATCTAGCAAAAAGGCCTAAGCAAATTGATCTACTTTAAATATTGTTTTAGGATATATTTGTAAGAGTGGGATGGGGTCCCCGAAAGAAACCTTACAGCTGGAAGGGTTCCGTAAGTCGAAAGAATTTGAAGACCGCTGCTGTAAATGAACGAAATACAGTCCCAAATTTGATTCTACAGCCCTGAGATTCATATTTTGAAAATGTAAGAAAAAATACAGCAATAACAGCTACTATATGTTCATCTTTTTCATAAAAACAGGTTTTTCATAAAAAAGGTGGTTTACCAAGAATCAAGCAGGGTCACATCAAACGAAAGCACAGATATTATGAGGGTTTATTCATAAACTCGTTCTAAATCCTGCCACATAGCAGTAGTTCCTCGGTTGACGGGATAATACCTACATAAATACCCACTACGTAATTCGGAAGTTACTGACTGTTTTTTTACGTTTTCCATTTACCGGCAGCTCTGTTTGAGCTTGGAGTTAACCATATAAAAAAAGAGTGGTAAAACCGTTTAATGGCAAAATGATTGGCAACCCTGGTACAGGAAAGGCGCAGAAAGTATGCATTTGGCCAAGAATATCATGGATTCAGAAGATCTCAAAATCTTTGCTCTAAGAGAGTTCAGATCTAACTAAGTTAAATATTTCCAACGTAATTATTGATTTAATGACTGACTCACTTATTTAAATAAACTTAAGGGAAACTTTTCTTGGTGCAACTGCAAATTTATTAAGAATTTCGTCTTAGTCTTATTTAAAGAGACAAATATTGTTCCTTTATTTCTTCTGCATAATTTTTATTATAAATGTTTGCTTTGCTTTTAAAGAACGTCTTCCTGTCAATGATCAGAATTCGAAGGTCTTTGCCGTCTTTGAATTTTAACTCGATGTCACTATCTAACATAAGATCTCATTTCGAATCTTAGGAAAAAGGAAAATGAGATCTTACGTGAAATTCATTCTGATACTAATATAATTATCTCTAAAGCTGATAAAGGCGAACAGATCGTTGTTATGGACAAACACACATATATTACTGGAGTCTCTAAACTGATAAATGAAGGCCCATACTGCTCGACTCTAAAGATCCTTCAACTTCGGACCTCACGAAAGTTAAAAGTGCTATCAAATCTTCTCATATTCTGCCAACCCTTGAAGAAATCACTTATTCCACCTATTACTAATTGCGCTAGGCTTTATGCTCTTCCAAAAGTCCACAAACCGGTACTCTTTTTCGACCAATTGTTTCCAACATAGGTACTGCTTCATATCCTTTGGCCAAATATTTAGTTTCCAGATTTTCTCCGCTACTTGCTAACAATATTCACACTGTAAAAAAATTCTGTTGAAGTCATTGATAAACTTTAAAATATTTCTCCACTTCGTTCCATTATGGTTTCATTTGATGTCAAATCACTGTTTACTAATGTTCCGGTCGCAGGAGCACTAAATTGTCTTGAAACTAGGCTTCGGGAATTTCACTTTACACATACTGAAATTAATGAGTTGGTTTCGCTTACTAAAGTCTCTCTCAATCAAACCCACTTTGTTTTCCAAAATGCATATTTTCGTCAAGTTGAAGGATTGGCTATGGATAATCCTCTCAATCTGGTACTCGCTGACATTTATATGCACTATTTTGAGATGAAATTATTTGATAAACTATCTTTTCGTCTTTGGATTCGGTATGTTGACGACACTTTCGCTCTTTTTGACGGTTATAAAGAGGATTTATCCGAGATTCTATCTATTATGAATTCAATTGATCCCGCCATCCAATTAACTCTTGAAATTGAATCCAACAATTCTCTCCCCTTCCTTGATATTCTTATAATCCGCAATGAAACTGATTTTAGCACTACTGTGTACCGTAAACCCTTTGCAGTTTGTTTACCACCCCATGCCAAGTCATGCCACCCTGTTTAAGCAAAAAATGGCTTCTTTTTATTATGTATTCCGCGCGCTTAAAGTTTGTTCCTCTGAATCTGTGCTTACCAATGAACTAAATTATTTGAGAGCAGTTGCGATTGACCGTGGATTTTCTCCCGTGATTATTGATAAAGCCGTTAAAAAATTTTAACTTTTTTAAAAATTTTAATAATTTAAGACATTCCACTGTTAGAAATAATATTAATGACCTTGTCGTGCTTCCATTTTATCCTTCTGTTAGCTATAAAATTGCGCGGATTCTCCAGAAATTCAATTTTCAAGTCCGTTTCTCCCTTATTAATAAAATCCACCCTTCGATTCTAAAAGATTGCGTTTCTCTCTTGAATTCTTGGGCAATTTATAGTATATCGTGTCAGTGTGGTTTAAGATATATTGGCCAAACAAAAAGAGCGTTGAAGTTTCGTATCAAGGAACATGAATCTTATGTCCGAAAAGGCGAAATTAACAAGTCTTCAATAGCGTATCATAGTTGGACATTTAACCACCATAATTTTGACTTTGGGTCTGAAAAAAAAAATATATATATATCCAAAAGGCTTCTTTCATAGGTGAATTGGATTTTCTTGAGGCTTTTCATATTCACAAAGATTTAGCATGTTTAGTTAAGGATTTGAAGTCCAATCGAGTCCTTCCTAATGCCTTTAAAATTCTACTATCTTAATTCAGTTATTTTTGTCGATAGATGGCGTTACCTCTTCGCGTTTGGTACTACCAGAAGGTATGAAAATCCATTCAGTGGTTGCTTTCCATTATTCGAAGTTCAGATTTTGAGCGTGAAGGTGCAGTTGCCCCTCGCTCCCTATTTTT